CCACAAACAAAAACGATGCCTCCTTATTGATATGGCAGTCCCTGCTGACTGCAATGTATCTTTGAAGATATTCAAAAAGTTGTCAAAGTACAAGGACCTTGAAATAGAAATCTCGAAAATGTGGCATATGGAAACATTAACAATCCCTGTTGTAGTTGGAGCCCTAGGACTGGTTGGAAAAGATTGCAGTAGACTAACTGAAGGGATTCCTGGAAGTCCATGCCTCAAGGAGATAAAAAATTGTTCTGACAAGTACAGACCAAACCTTACGAAAGGCTTTATCTATGTAATTTAATTTTTTTTTTTTTTGTCAATGGAAAGTGTCATGACGCCATTTCTAACCTTAGGTCCCTGGGCGGGACCCGGAAAGAAATGTGTAAACGCCAGAAATCAAAGAAAATAATAATAATAATAATAATAATAATAATAATAATAATTCTATGATGCATGTAGGTGGTATACACTTATCAAACTGGGTGTCATCATGGGTATATTGAGCTTTGAATATTTGAACCCCAGCATCACTTTGTCGGCATGAGGCTCTCTCACTCAATAATGATAATAATAATGATAATAATAATAATTCTATGATGAATGTAGATGGTATACTCTTATCAAACTGGGTATCATGATGGGTATATTGGGCTTTGTATATTTACACCCCAGCATCACTTTGTTGGCATAGTGTTCTCTCATTTTATAGTAGTACTGAGCAAATAAAATTTACTGCACTTTGTCGAAAGACTCTAGTCGCGACATAATTTTTTATCTTCAAACTCTTAGTTCGGTTCGTCCCAAATACATTCACTCAAAGATTACCCGGGGATGGTGGTTGGGAGTGGAAGGAGCACAAATGTGGTTGGAATTGACGTACGGAGAAGGGGGTTGTACAGCTTTTTCATTCATTTTTTTTTCTCTTTCCGGTCGATGCATTATTTTCTCAAATGATCATTTCTTTCGTATTTCTCTGGAACAAATTCTTCGATTGGATTCAGTGTTAAACTTGCTGTTCTTACCGGATATTAGATGTACTGCAATTCATCATTTCGCTGTTAGTTTGGTATTCATGTGCACTGATGTGTGCGTATACGCGTTCGTATCTAGGTGTGTGTATTTGTCGGCGTGTAAATATATGTGCATATACATGTCTATGCGTGTAAATGTTTCTTTTTTTATTTCTACACGTGTGAATATTTAGGTGTAAGTAAGTAGATATACATGTAAGATTATATTGGAGTAGATGGGTATGTATTCAATTTGGCAGATGTGATAGTATCAGCAATTATAATTGAGTTATGTTATTAAAAAGTGTATGACTATGTTCATATTGTGTATATCAAGAAATGTGTGCGTATTCGACTGCAAAGATATAAATCAAATATGCATTTAGTTATATGTAGATGTCTGAATATAAATGCATGCAAACTTAGTCATGTACATACAGACACATACATACACATACATAAAGAAATATCTATTATTATTATTTTTTATGAGTGAGCCTGGATGTTTAAATATATATATTTATTGGTATTTATTGGTGTCAGTATGTAAGAACTAAGGGTAATATTATTTTGTGAAATTATTAAAATTTGTTTATACATACATGTCATCATCAGTTATTTAGTTTGTGCCGCTGTGAGTCCTTATTTCTATTGAAATTGTGGTTCATCGAGATATTCAAGGCAAAATAGTGCAATGGCTTGTCGGTTCTTTTTGCGACGAGGATGTTAAGGTTACCCCGGCACTCATCTCAGAAGATCCTCCGCTCGTTGCTAAAAACGTTGGCCTCTGAGGCGTAGCTTCTACGCTAAAGCTGTCCTTCGCAGTGCCCAGGCGACTTCTTGGAGCCATGTATGAGAGTTAATTGTAGGTCGGGGATCGGTACTGTTACGCATCCCAATTCACCTGAGTAAATCAGGGTCGACGGGTTCGCTGCAAAGGTACTACCACTGAGGATACACACAGATAAACACATACACACACAAACACAAATATATATCTTTCGCTATATATATATATATATAGCGAAAGATATATATTTAACGAAATATATATATATTTAACGATATATATATATATATATTTATATATATATTTCATTAAATATGACGGACAAGGAAGATTTTATTAATTTTTTATATAGTTTTTTCCAGCGTTCTTACATTTTTCCGTTTGGTGGGAGTGAGGGAGGTGAAAATGTCGAAGGAAGTGTCCAAAAGCGCTAGGGATAATGGACAGTTTCTGTATCTCCTATATATATATATATATATATATATATATATATATATGTGTGTGTGTGTGTGTGTGTGTGTGTGTGTGTGTATGTATGTATGTATGTATATATATACACGTATGTATGTATGCACATATATACATATATATTTATATATATACATACATATATATATGCATGTATGTGTGTGTGTATATATACATACATATATATATACATACGTACATTTATATATATATATATATAGATACACACACACACATA